GTGATTATGAGCCTGCATGAACTTTAGCTATGACTCTGCCATTCCTCTAAAATGTCACTCAGAATCACATGGTGTGGCAATTAATACCACCCGTGACATGGTTCAAATATTTAATCTAGTTCTATTTCAGGAAATGTCACTGTAACCCTTGTACCTTCCTTCCCATCTTCGCTAAAATCACATGTGCTCCCTAGTGAGAAATACAGATGACCAATACCTGTGTTCAAATGCATTAAGAGAAAAACAGAGCTGGCAACTTCCTCTTTAAAAGAGTAAAGTGAGTAAAGAATTAATAGCAAAGAATTATTTTCTAAATGTTAAAAGTAGCAGTAAAGTTCACAAGTTCTTTAAAGCGTGAAGAGGCAGTTTGTGGTGACTGATACCTCTGAAGTTCCCAGAGACGGAGGCAGCAGCTTCACCTATGTGCAGAGTAGCAAGAGAAGTTTTGCTATGCCAGTTTTCTTAAGCTGTTGATTTGAAAAAAGGATCTCTTTAGTGTTGGTGAGGGACCAACCCTCACCCTTTTGATGTACAAAAGGTGTATTTCTTGCGGAGAATACCTTCACCTTTAGCAGAGGCTTTAGCCTAGGTGCATCGTGAGTAAGAGGGAAAACTGTTTTAAGGCCCTGAAATAGACATTCTCCATTTTTTTTCATCCTGGGGTTACAAACAGCCCCTCCACATTAAATGATACTTACAATCCCTTGGGATGTTTCTCAGCCAGAACCAGATTTGCAGTAGTAACTTATGTCAAAACTTCCTGCTGGCTTTTGTCTCTACCTTCTATGCATGGTAAGTGATATATATGCTGAAAGAGTTTTAAACCCAAAATACACTCCTGGCAGGATATTAATGTCCTGAAGCCTGGTTACAGGTAGCTGAGCATGTCTTGGGGGAAAGCAGAGAGAGAAAGGCTACGACCTCTAAGATCATAACCTTTCAGAAACGGTTTGCTGATTCACTGGCCATAAGTCATCACAGCACATGGGAATACTGCTTTGGAAAAGGCAACACCAATTTGACACTGATTTTGTTTACCTTTTATGGTGGTGATGTGATGAGAGAACGGGAGTGAAGAAACCTCGGTTTTTCAGACACTTTACAGCTCAGTAGCTGTTAGTTTAAGTCACTGCTGCATTTAACCCCCTCATCATTAACCACTGCAGACGTTGATCCACAAGATAACCATAAGGAATTCATCAAAACTGTTCACTAGGGAACAGCAGGAGGGAACCTGGCCCATGGAGGATACACATCAACTGTCCCTGAGCCAATTGCTTTGTGTCTCTTTTCTCCTGTATCACAGTATTTATGTGTTCTCAAAGTAATATACAAGTACAAATGACCTTGGAAAGAAAACTTTAAAGGACTTGTTGCCACTCTTAGAGCTACTGAGCTGTGCATGCTCTATGTCCTGGCCTTGGGCCAAAGGCATGCGCAATCCTGGAGGCACATGAAAGACTTCTAACTAGTTATCATGAGGCAAAGCCACTATCCCAAGTATGAGCAGAATGACATAATAAACAGAAAATTTGCAAGGCAAGTTGTGCAAGCATTCTGTAAAGCTGCTATATTCAAATACCAGGAGCCTTCAAAGTGTCATGCAGAACACTTGACTGCTAAGAACAAAAACAAAACGTTCCCTGCCACTTTACCTGTAGAAAATCGACCTGATACTGGGTACCAGCTGAGACATGTATGTGTTATTCTCCACCCTCATCAGTTAAAGCGTACCTCATTGCATAGCAGTGCTGAACACCATGCTATCTGCAAAGGAGAGGAAGACAGATGTGTTGGAAGTGCTATGTGACAGTAGAGCAGATCAGCCCTGACTGTCATAAGGAAAAGCAGGAGATGAATTACTTGATTAGGACCACTGTATGAGAGCCAGCAACCCTGGCACTCACATGAGAGAGATGGTAAGCCAAATCTGACATTCTTGCCATGTGCAGAAGTAGCTGCACCCTCCCAGTTACAGCACAGGCAGTCACCACAGTGCTCATGAAGTGCATTTTTTGTGTTTCTGCCATCTGCTAAGGCATCTGAGAAGCTCATGCTCTTCTCTCCCTGATATTCCCTGCTTGCTCTTCTTTCCCTCAGGCTGTAACAAGGCCAGTGATGTCCTGGTCTGTGGACGTGAGCTTGTTCTCTGGTTTATATTTTCCACTGCAAAACACCAGCTCTCATTTATTCTCTTTGGATTTCTGTGTCTCCTGATATGTCATCTTCTGCTGGTCTACATACAGAATATATATGGCTCCAGCTTCATAGATAGATCATATCTCTGAATATTTCTTAGACGATGTGCTGAAGTCAAATTACATCATCAAATTTGTAATGAAGAAACTCTCTGACTCATAATGTGCTTGTTCAATGATATTTAGAAAAGCAGTCTTATTACTATCAGAATATTATCTGTGTGAAACATGCTTGAGGTCTCATGCCATGAATCCTGACAATCTTGTTAAAATCTATGAAGTAAAATTATTAAGGTTTATACTTAAAAAAAAAAAAAAGTGTTCTTTCCAATACCGTATAAATTAGACCTTGTTTGGATTAACTGAAGAAGAGATGTTCACAGAGATAAAAATCAGTGCAGACTTAGACACAGTTAATTCTGCCCTGCATGTTACAAGAATACAATTTAAATTCACATCTAGCTTGTGGTACATTGAAAGAACTTGAAAATTTCCCAAGGGTGGTGCAGTTAATAAACCACCTAGCATAGAAAAAAAATTTAAACAGAAATAATTGGGAACCATTTCAAAACTATTTTAGCAGTCATTCCGAATCCCACAACAAAGTAGAAAACTATTAGAAAGCATTCCATCTTAAAAAGAATGTTAAAGTAATAGTAAAAAAAAAAAATTGATCATACTGGTAGAGACTTAAGTTAATCAGGTCCCTGCTATTGCAGACAATCCTATCACATAATCTTACTCAGAAGTGTATCTATGTCTGTATCAGAAATAGTTCAGCTCTGATTAGGATGCTGCCCAGTCCATCCTGAAGACTGCAGCTATCAGTCCCTACTCATGGTTCAGGGAAGGAGGTGATGCTGGCTCTTGGCAGTCAATGACTATTCATTCTAGTCACTCTACTGAACTGCTGTGGTCCCAAGGGGATGATACGATCTCTGAATCCATAAGCTAGAGAGATGCTCTGCTGCTTCCATGCCAGGGACTTGGTATGACCATCACTGCAACAAAAGGACCATTCTGGTATCAGGAAGATGCTGAGGATAAAACAAAATGGAAAGAGTTCTGGGTAGAACCAAAGAATGATTAATAAATTTGAAAACATGATAAAAAAAACGGATGGAGAGAGATCTAAAAAAGCTAGTTATTAACTAGCTACACGTGAAAAAAATGAGTAGAAACTTATACAACAAATGCAAAAAAAAGTAATAACAAAGGCCAGTGATTTAAACTGAAGACAAATAAATGCAGGCCAGAAATAAGAATGTTGGGGTTTGCTTTTTCTCTTTTTTTTTTTTTTTTTTTTTTTTTTAATTCAGGTTGATCAACCCTTGGAAATCCTCTATATACTCCAGTCTCTATCTACTAGAGACTCTAGTATCTTTAGGTAATTTTGAATGCCAGACAGATACTTTCCTAATGCAGGTGGTTTCCTTCCAGCACACCTGATCAGTGCGAGCAAGCACACGGTTAAAGCTGATAATCACACAAGTTCTTCTGATCTTGAAAAATTCTTTCCCCTTCCCAGCTGCACTATGGTATCACTATAGACATCTACAAGAAAATTGATTTTCTACCATCATGAGCACAAGGGAAGAACCCTTAGGAAACTACAAAAGAAAAACATGCACTTTCAATTTTTTAGGCTCTGCAATGGTTAAATTTCTCTGATGAACATGAAATCTTTGCAGTGGAGGCCTAATGGTTGTCTGTCATGAAACCTGAATCACAGCATGGTATTTCTGGCAAAGAGTTCTTAGAAATACCTTACGCCTTTAACAACACGTTTGGCTGGGATAATTATTTTTCTCTGTATCCACAGAGGTGTAAACTTATTGTTAAGCCAGGCTGGCATTTTCTGTGAGGAAAAACCCCACACAGCTGAACCTGTTAATGACCTGAGGTCAGATTTGACAAATAGTTCTGTTGCGAATTTTTTTTAGTTTGAGATCATTCTGTTCAGACTCTTTCAAAATGAATCTTTTTGAAATGTCTGTTTTGAAGCACTGCATTTCTTAGAAATCAAGTTATTTTAGAAGGAAATGAAAGTAAAACCAAACCAAATCTACCATGTTTCCTGTTGGATAAAATACCTTATTCATTATGTATTCCCACTATGTGAAAACTTTATTTCTTGAACTTGTTTTTTTGAGCAAGTCTATTTGTGCTATTTAGATTGTATAATGTACAACATGGACTCAGGTTTGTGCTGCAGTGTTGTATGCATTTATATTCAGAGCTGCAGCCCACCCTTGTGGCAAGAGGTTTTTATTAAATTAAGAATTACACAAGGACTACAATCACCTTTCCAATGCAGTTCAGATGATGTTCTCATAGGAAATTCTAACTTGCATGTTCGCCTGGCCCATTTAGTCACAAATGATAGCCATGCGATGGCAATGCCATACTACAGTCAGAAGGTCCTACCTAAGGAGTAGATCAGGTCAGCTGTTATCTCCAGATTCCTACAGGGCAGAGGGGTTGGAATTACATGATCTTAAGGTCCTTTCAACCCAGATCATTCTATTATTCTATGATGATGTGATTGATGCATCTCTCACCTTCTCAGCAGAGTCACCTTTACTGCAGAAGTGATTTGGTTTAAAAAGCTGAGGCACTTAGCCGACAAAGACAGAAACTGAACTCCTGCATAAAGAACTGCAAAGTCTGAGGAAGAAAATATTAGAATGAGGCATGCTGGGCTTCAACTGTAAGAAGAAATGTGTAGTTAGTCATTAGGGTTTTTTTAAGGAAAAAAGAAAAAAAAAAGACAAGAAAAAAGAGCCTGTCTTACTCTGATTATTTTTATTTTTTTTTTTTAATTAGGTAGCTATCCTACACTGCAGCATCTCCAGTGTTGGAGGCTTTTAACAGCTGTCAGAGAAACATCTGCCAGGTAAAGTAGAGCCTACCTCAGGGTAAAGGGAAATGTTTTCTGTGATTAAACAATGGAAGAATGACCTGGGGGATAAAGCTCAATGGAAGATAACGCTGCCAACAAGAAAAAATACATGTGTTATGGGACTTTATTAAAACTCAGAAAGGAAAACAATTTTATGAGTACAAAATCTGCCTCTGTTCTAGTGTCCAAAAGTCAGTCATTCTTTCCTAAAGGTACAGACCCATTTAGCATATCAGATCCTGAAAGGGTGAGAATACTGCTGAAGCTGCCTGGGCAAGAGAGGAGGGAACAATGAAACTGCCCATGCTGAGAGGGTCTGCTTTAGGGATTAGGCATTGCACATCCAGTCAAAGACAGGCACAAGTAAGAGTAAGGAGGATGCACACATACTTGTTCAGCAGAAGTAAGGTACAATGTCCCTGTATTTCCCTGATCAGCCATGGCATAAGCCTTCACCAAATTACCAGGGAAGTCTCTTTGCATTTTCAAACTAGTTCCTTTTCCCCCACATTCATCCATTTCTTTTTCCAGGTAGTTTATTTCTCTTTCTGTTCACAGGCTTTGTTTTCTGTTACAACCCTACAACTCAGGTTCACAGTGTAGTTCAGCCTGCAAGGCAAGGATGCCAGTCTACCTATAGCAGAAAACATTCTGCAGAAGGTTTGCTCTGTTCAGCAGCTCTTATCCAATAGCTGTTGCAAAGACAAAGAGAAGGGTAGAAGCAGCATTGAATCTGCAGCTAAACAGCCTTTAACTTTTAACAGCTTCATCGAGCAGTTTGTCTCTCAAAGAAATCAGAGAGAGCAGCTTCTATCATTCTTCACCTTTGCAGTGCTCCTGTGAACTTCTCAGCTCCTACAGAACAGCTGGTCAGTTGATAGCTGCCGTTAGAAAGGATAGGAGTTTCCCATCACATCGCATTAGTGCAGGGAATGGAGACTATGACAAAACAGCAAACAACAGAGTACAGCCTTAATAGCAGATATCTGACGGGGTAAATACAATGACCTGTCTGAGGCTGTTACCTTTACCTGCTAGGCTGCAGTCAAGAGGCACCCTGCTGTGCAGTTATTTCTGAAGCATTATAATTACACTGTTGTGCTTCACACTTCTAAATACATACTGTACACAATTCCTCTAATTTAATCAGATACAGAACAGATTTGTCTCTTAAAATGACACAGGATTCAGAAGCTCCCGAGAAATCCAAGCTGGTGGAGATGCTGATGAATGCATGGGGTTGTTTAAGTCATAATGTCATTGTCTGTAAGGGGATTTTGATGGAGCTTCTGGTTTTCAGGACAGTATTCTGACTGCCAGCCAATTACTTGCAGTAAAGATGGCATCTGTGAAACAGAACTATAAATACACAGAACTGCTGTGAAAATACATGTATTGTTTCTCAGACACTTGGGTATAACAATAATAATTCTGGGCAGATTAGTCATAAGCAAATATTTCCAGAGTGTAGGATGGGTATGCTATACTGTGAAATGGCACAAAAAGTATCCACCAAATACAAACACACAAAAAAAAGCAGAACAAAAACCTCCATCACAAACCTCGTATTTGATTTTGATTTACAGTCAAACATTCTCCCACTGCATTTTTGGAGGGAAAATCCTGTTTCTATCATGAAAGCCTATCCTGCAACTCTCACCTAGACAAATCCATAGATGGAACGAAGCCATGCCAACAGATAAGAAAAGGCTATGGTTGACGATCTGCCTCCTGTCCCAGCACAGTGACAGCATGTATTTCATTACACTCTAGTGCTAGGGAAAATAGACCCATTAGTTAAAAATAGTTAAAAATAGTGACTGTCAATCAGTCAGCACCTTTCCCTGGAAGGAAAGTGAGATAAATGTATATTGCATTTCAAAGGCACAAAGGAGACAGAGTAACAGAATAACAAAATTCAGGTATAAAACTGTTTAAACAAGACACAGGACACAAAATAAATTACTCTCAAACTTGAAACACACCTGTTTCTTGTCTCACATATGTGACCAAATTACAAAGAAGATATTGCTTTGCAAGAGAAAACCGTGCAAGGATGTGAGAATTTCTTTCTACCAAGTGAGAAGATACAGATTCAACATTGCATTTGTCTTTAGACAGGCATGGAAAAAGCAAAGAAATACAGGGTTTGGAGCTAACTAACACAGATCTACATGAAAATAATTGGAAATCAGAAGACTTTGTTCACTGAAAATAAAACCAAATGCTTTCAGGTGTTTAATTTACCCTCTAAAATAATGGTGAAGAGGTTGCATAAACAATTGTTTTCAAAGATGGTTTCAAATTTTGAAAAAGCCACTACAAGTGCATATCCTGAGGAAAAATATTTTCTTGTAAACCTACCATGACCACTTCCCAAAGATGATTTACCAGAGTCCAGATTGAAGAATAAGCTTCTGTCAATGATGCAAATTGGAATATGTGTCCTTTATTCAAACAGGAGTTATATCTTCCTGAGGAACCCATAGTCACAGGCAATACTAGTCAAATTCTGATTCTTGTAAGAGAAAACGTGCATTGTCTTATTCAGAGGACTTTTCACAGAAAGTCTTCTTTCTGTGACTTTCACAGAACATGCCATTTTCTCTGGCAGATTTAGAGATCTGAACTCAAGACCTAATCCCAGTAGAATTAAATAGAAAAAAAAAATACATGTATAGGAATAAAACATTCAAATACTAACCATTTTTTTTAATAACCGTATATAAGCACAAACTGACAATAAAAAGAAACTTCTTCTCTTACAGAGCTACAATCTAAAGTGAGGGTTTACTGGTCATTTTTCCTTCACAATGACTTAGGGGTTGACATTGGCCTTCTTCTCTTCCAGACTTTGTAACCTCCGAGGGGAATGGCTAGCACCTTCTGTCGTCTCTTGGCTGGCCGTGCAACCACTGCACTCTTTGCAGCTGCGGGCACAGGGGTGCTAACAACCGGGTACCTCCTTAACCAGCAAAATGTGAAGGCTGCTGTTCAGGAGAAAAGGAAACTCTTCCCACCAAGGTAAGGAGTTGGCTAGGTGCTCAGCGCCCTGTTAATTGGGTTAGGAGCAACATTTAACTCTTTGGATGAAGAAGATCCCTATCAAAGGGTCCCTGCAGGGTCCTCATGTGGCCACAGAGTCTATGTGCCTGTCCATGGGCTGTGTGACAGCACATGGGCTGTGTGGAAAACAGCACCCTTTATTAATAACTGTAATTTTAGGTAGCACCAACAATGGCCTTCAAGCCATAAAGCAGGAGTATGGGATACTATCAACACTCAAAAAAGCCACTGACAAACAATAACAAGCCTAAGAAATATTTCAGATTTTAAGCAGAGCACTAGATTAACCCTTTTTTCATCTCATCAGCTGTCAGACAAATTGTATCTCAGTCTTTTGTACTGGCTGATTGTACATTAAGAAAATGTGAAAGTATTTTCATTATACAAGTAGTGAAGACATCTCCCATAAAACTGCTGCACTTGAAATACTCCTCATTCTGTTACAAATGATGATTACAAAGTAGTTACAGACCATCTCTGTGGGCTGACTTTGCTGGTATACTTGGAAAAACAATACAGACCAGGCTCCGAGACAGGCTGTGAATATTATTCAGTAGTGAATACCATCCTAGTTAAAATACATTCCTAAAGAAATAATGGAGTTGTGCATAAAGCAAATAATTACCAGCACACAGTAAATGTGGTCTGACTCACTTGAAAAAATGCCTTGCTAAAGCATAACATCTTTATTTTCCCTGGTTTAGTACACCATGCATCTTTCTGTAAACAGTAATGCCATTAAAGCAAAACCAGATATTGTTGAAGAACGAGCACTTAGGCTCCGAGTTAGACAGAATGTTTTCAGCTACACTTAATTACCTTTTCCCCTTGAACAAAACCATGTTGGAGCTCTTTTATTTCTGAATAAATTTTCTTTATTTCTTATTTCTCTCAGCAGAGATTTAATGGGGCTTAGTACACTCTAAGAGCCCACTAGGATACATTTTCCTGATGGCTCTGCATAGCAGAAAGGTGCAACTGCCTGTTAGTGTGGTGGCCCACCAGTGTGCGACATGGGGTACTTTCAGTGACCGGAATCTTTCTCCCTTCCTAAAATTCAATGCAATGTATAAACCAAGAACTAATTATACTTTTAAACCATGCTGTGTATTCTGTTTCTCATGACCCCTTAATAGATTCTTAAACTAGCAAGGATTACTCTTCAAAGTGTCACATTAACTGCTTGGGCTTCTTCTCTTCAGTGCAGACTATCCCGATCTCCGCAAACATAACAACTGCATGGCTGAATGCCTCACACCGGCAATTTACTCTCGGCTCAGGGACAAGATGACTCCCAATGGCTACACCCTAGACCAGTGCATCCAAACTGGTGTGGACAATCCTGGCCACCCATTCATTAAAACTGTGGGCATGGTCGCAGGTGATGAAGAATCCTACGAGGTAAGATGTTTCTACTACAGTGTTGTATTTGGTTCAGGTTATGTGGTCTCTTTCACAATAGCTCATTAGATGAAGACAGATTCCTGGTAGGGTATGGATTCCTGAGGTAAATTCTATCCCAGAGAGTAAATAAGAGACAGGCCACATGCATAAAGATGATGATTTCCCTACTCTTCCTTACACTAGGAAATGCATGGACATGAGGTATTCCTACTGGTGCTCTCTCTGCTGCTACTGAAGTTAATGAAGGGTACCTGCTTGGGAGCAGCTGCTACCTGCCTCCAGGACCTGCCCTCATTAATAGAATCCTAGAATGGTTTGTGTTGGAAAGGACCTTAAAGCCCCTCCAGTTCCAACTGCCTGTCACCAGCAGAGACACCTTCCACTAGACCAGGTTGCTCCAAGCCCTGTCCAACCTGGACTTGAACACTGCCAGGGATGGGGCAGCCACATCTTCCTACAACTAAACATTTTATGGCTGGGCTTCTGAGGATGGACTGGGACATGTGGCATTCTGGACTATCACGTCCTGCAGTTCAGTTATACTCAGTTAGATGTGTCGTTGCCACCACTCCTCATCTGCAGGAAGGTGTGGCTGTGATCAGTGTTGACACACCTGAGCGAAGTGGCTCTAATGAGGATTTAACATCCCATGGCACTGAAGATATAGAATATTCCTGCAGGATCTAAAACAAAGATACAGGGTGCTGGGGGACTCTTGAGTGTGTGTTCTGGCTGGTAATATATCCTGAAACTTAATATGATTGCCACTACCTCTAGTACCTCTCTGGCAACTAGAGTAGGCTCGTAATGCAATTTCTGTTGTGAAGACAAGCACCGCTCCTTTTATATTTACCCCATCTGCATTTGCAAAGCCCCCTGTAAGTCTGCCACCCAGGAGCCTGTGCCAGAGGACTTCTCCTGTGTCTTAGAGCTGCTGCTTTGAAGCATTTCTGTGAAGCTGCAGACTCTCTATAGGTTCTCTTGACTTCATAGGTTTTTGCTGAGATTTTTGACCCTGTCATTAAAGCAAGGCACAACGGCTATGATCCACGGACTATGAAGCATCACACAGACCTGGATGCATCCAAGGTAGGATTGAAATAAAGCAGTGAGACAGTGAACGAGCAGGGCTGCTTCTTACAGTCATGATATTGTATACAACAGTACTTTTCTTTTTCCTGATCCAACTCCAAAGGCACTAAGTTTAGGGTTAAGAGAAGAG